ATAATTTTTTATAGATATAATAATTAAATATTCTATTAAAACTCAATGCTTACCTTAATTATATTTTAGATTTTTTATATTTAAAATGTGATATTTATTCTATATATATTATGTTTATTTACAGTTAATGACACGAATTTGAAATGAAGGTTTAATAAATTATACTTATGCCCAGTTTACTTGAAATACTGAATTTTAAGTAATATACATTAATAAACAATACTTCATACATAAAAAATAATTTTTAAAAATTTTTATCTAATATTTTATAACATAATATAGATACAAATCAAAATAAAATACGTTTATATTTTAATACAATTTATCATTTTTAAATATATTATTTTTCTCAATAAAAAAATTCAAAAAATTAAATGTAGAGTAGGTGCAACCTCATCTTCCCAGCGACATTTTGCCAAAAGTAGTAACAAAATAAATAGGGCATGATATTTAGAAGCCACGTCACAACTATCATCCGAAAAATCATTTTTTTTGTGATATGTAATAAATGCAATATTTATTAATCATAAATGACCTAATTATTAATTTAATAATTTAAATGAGAAAATTGTTATATCTATACTATATTATAAAGCATTTGATAAAATTCTTAAAAATTATTTTTTATACATAAAGTACTGTTTATTGATATATATTATTTAAAATTCAAGATTAAAAGTAAATTGTGTATAAATACAATTTATTAAAACTCTATTTTTGAATTCGTGTAACTAACTACGGATAAACATAATCAAATAGAGCTTAAACATCTTATTTTAAAATATAAAAAATCTAAAATATAATTAGAATAATTATTGAGTTATAACAAAATATTAATTATTATTTTTATAAAAAATATATTATTAAACCTAAATTAAGTTATTTCGTTACGTTAAATTAAATTATAATAATATTTTTAATTAAAAAAACACAAACAAGAACATTTAAATAGTTAATTTGATACTAATATTGATATTTTTTTTGCAAATTTTATATGATATTTTCAAATTTATATTTTATTCAAAAATAGAAACATTATCGCTTTTTCAAAACCATATAAAATCGTATCATATCGACATGGATAAAAAATAAAACGAAACATTGAAATGGAAATATGTCTCGATACATTGCACGAGTATTGCACGAGTACCATTCTAGTTAATTTTTATGCAATTCAATATAAAATGCTGCTGTTTTTTTAAGGGTAATAAAAAATTTCAATTAACAAATAATCCCAGATCCATAATTCATATGACGCGATTCTCCCTTTTAAAAATTAAATTTTTTTATAAATAAAAATAAGACACTGTTATTTAAAGAAATTTAACAATCACGTCACAGTTACTTAATTAAGTAATACATTAATTAAATCGGTCATATATATATATATATATATATGTGTGTGTGTGGCTACATTAACAATTCTACATGTGGATACAACCATCGATTGTGAAAGCTTTAAATTAAGTAGTAATCGGTTAGTCGATTATGACTCGAACCCTTTTTCATACATAACCCATTGACCCGACCCACGAAAATATCGGTCTTTAAAGGCTGGTTTTTGTCATTATAGTCGGCTTTTTGCAACCATAAAACTATTAAATACCAAATTTAGCTCATAAACTACAAGTCATAAAAGGTGGATCAACAAAATATTCAAGGAAAAAGTCAAACCATATATATATATATATATATATATATATATATATATGAATGTATGTATATATGCGCGTGTGTGTGGAATTTTGAGATACATAATCAATTGGGGTTCAGAATTAGGCTTCCAAGGGGCTATTTTTTTGGTCTTCTTGGCGAGTCGTCATTTGGTGGGTCTGTTGTACACTGATTGTGGTGCACCGGTTAGCAGCTGATCAAGATTCTCCAAGGTCTCTATACATATATATATACATACATGTAGAGAGAGAATCCAACCTCCCCTCCCCTCCCCTCCGAATTCTTCAGTTCACTTCCAGTTTGAAGCCCAAATCGATGGAGGGGAAAACAGTGGTGGAATGCAAGATTTACACAGAAACAGAGAAAATACAGAGTGTTTGTTTGCAGGATGAGGATGGAAGCAGTCAAGAAGAGCACAAGAAAATTCTTAAAATGAGAGCTTTACTTGAAATCCATGATCCCACTTCCAAGGTCTCTCTCTCTCTCTCTCTCTCGAAATCAGAACCAAATGTGTTCTGGGTAGCCAATAGCATCAAGACAAAATCAAGACTGGTGGAAAAGTTGTTTAAGATTCTTTGAAGATCTATTATATATAATTGTATCTTATTCCATCACATGGTCTTGATAAAAACCCCCTAATATTTCTAAACAGTTTTTGATTCATGATCCTAATTAATAGGGAGAAAAGTCCATCACATTGACTACTGACCTTTGGACGGTAAACCCAAGAAACCACAAGAACAAGAAAGTGCATTTTGATGCAATAAACTTCATAGAATTAAGGTTCACCTGTTTGCCTAGTCTTTTGGTGGGATATAATGTTATCATATGCAGTTTACTGCATCAAAATTTGTCAAGATTATATGAAGTTTTGAGGGTTAATCAAAATTTGTGTGCAGATCAGTTGAAATGTGGTAAAGAAATCTTGAAACTGTGTAGCAAGATTACCTTCATTTTTTAGATCAATCTGATTGGGAAATTTCTTGAATTGAATTGTGTTTCAGGAGTGTGATGATGTTACAATCAGACGGTTTCTTCGTGCGCGTGATCTAGACATTGAAAAAGCTTGTGCCATGTTTCTCAAGTACCTAAAATGGAGGAAAACGTTTATCCCAGATGGGTCTATCTCTGTATCAGAAATCCAGAACGAAATCGCGCAAAACAAGATGTTTATGCAAGGATCAGATAAGACCGGACGACCAATTGCAGTCGTGTTTGGAGGTAGACATCACTGCAACAAAAAAGGAGGTCTTGAAGAGTTCAAACGTACGCGATCTCAAACTTAACACACATGTCCACAGTCCAAGATTAAGAGTTTTTGTATGTTCGTCAAGTAATCACAATCTTTTGGCAGGTTTTGTGGTCTTCGGGCTAGAAAAGTTATGTTCCAGGATGCCTCCAGGCCAGGAGAAGTTTATGGTCATTGGAGATCTTCAAGGATGGGGGTATTCGTGTAGCGATATACGTGGATATCTTGCGGCGCTCTCTATTTTGCAGGTTTGCAGCCATTTTTGTGTTTAGAAGAAACACCCTTTTTGTGAATTAGATGACAGTGGGCATTGGCAATGAGTTCTATCTAACCAATGCTCTTGTTGACCATAAGGGTCATGGATCATGAGCTCTACAAGATGTACTTGATGAATGATCCAACCACTTTATACTACCTTTTCAACCAATTAACTGAAATAACAAGATTTTGCAAGCAGCACTTTCGCAACTTATGAAATCCACTTTTTTGAGTATAATATTCACAAAAAAGTAGACTTTTAGCAAGTTGCGAAATGGACAGAAGAACAATTCGAATAACGGTTATAGTTCGTTGGTTTCGAAGCAAATTATAACGTATTGATGATTATAACAGGATTATTATCCCGAAAGGCTTGGGAAACTGTTTATACTGCACGTTCCATACGTGTTTATGACCGTATGGAAGATGGTTTATCCGTTTATTGACGAAAAAACGAAGAAAAAGGTAAGTTTTTCCAAGTCTTGATAGCAACCATTTGTTGTCTTTAGGCATTAAGACTGGTAAACTATAGAGATAGAGTGTGAATGTATATTTATATACACTTAACTTGCAGATCATATTTGTTGAGAACAAGCAGCTGAAATCAACACTGCTGAAAGACATTGATGAGAGCCAGCTTCCAGAAGTTTATGGAGGCAATCTGAAATTGGTACCCATCCAAGATAACCAATGTGTCTGATGTTCTTTTCAGATTAAGCTGTTATACTGTCTGAAGTGCAGGCTTATGTATATAGGGTCATGATTAAATGAGAACCTATCGTGAGAACTTGTACTTTAAGGTATTATTTTACATGTTCTTTTTCCATCTAATGCTATAAGTTAAGGTATTGGTTATTTGTTTCATAACGAAACATTTTTACATGTATTTTTGTAAACACAAACTTGTACAAAGGTTTCATTTTGTGAAACGAGCATATGAAACAAGTACATGTTAATCGGCACTTTAAATCTTAGTTTTAGATGAACTTTTTGATGTAAAATAACATATGATGCATCGGTTTTCATGGTTATCACTAAGGTTCTTGTTTGATTAGCCCCTATATATACATATGTAAAGACGAAGAATTGTGTGAGAATAAGAGTTAAGGTGAGAAGCGTAAGAACGGATCGGACTCTTGATCACTTTTAATCTCAAACTCATCCCATGAATTGCGCTTATCACGAGAATTCATCTAGTGTATCTGGGTGCACCACACTATTAAATAACAAACGACTCCTTCCAAACAAAAGAGGAGTTTTATTTTGCGATATACAAAAACGGAGTACAATTGATTAAACGAGTAGCCGTTACTACACGTTCGTTGGTGTTGTGCTGCCCCTTGCCTTGAAAGAATTCACACGCGGCCACCAGCTTTCCAAAAATAAGGTACGTCAAGTCAGTCAGCTTACAAGACACCATACATATGACTAGGAACACGTAGCTATGCCGAAGGTATCCCACGTCATATCAGCATGATGCTTACAAGGGACCCCGCGTCATATCATGAAAAAGACCTATGGCTAAAATTCTGTTAATTAACATTCTTCATCCGCAAGTGGCACCTCGGTAACTTTTTGAGATGACAAATGTCAACACAGGGACGGTCAATATTCTAGAAAGGGACGGTTGGGATAGCTTCGCAATTAATGCCCCCAACCGACCAAACTTAAATCGGTAGGTGGTGGTTACTCCCATTAAAACTCTATATAAAAAAGGTAGATGGGGCCTACTAATACATACATTTAGCATTTCTCTCTGTAAATAAAATATTCCCTGCAACTGAAATTTTGTCCGCAAGTTGATCTGTACACGTAACAACTACGTAAGTATTTTTCATGGCTGGTCGAGTAAGTTTTCCCCATCCCATGTAAACTTTTAAGATTTCTTTAACCATGTTACCTTTTAGTTTGATTGCATGTTATTCCTTCATGTTATACCTGTGTTTTACATATTTTGTGGAGAATGAACTTTTGGTTGAAAGCATATTTTTTCTGTAACTTACAGTCGCAGATAAAAAACAAGTTTGCAAGTTACGGACATGTCCTTGACTTGTGGGGTGGTAAGTTGCAAAAAAATTATAGTTATAATTTTGGTTCATGTAATTACTTTAAGGGGTTGTTTGTTTACCTTTTAATAGTTCCATTAAGAGGCAACTTTTGAATAGTTAAGAGGTTAATCTTGTTTGGCAAAAAAAAGTATGTCTCTTAATGGTTCTAAAACCCTCTGAATGATTTTGTATCATGGATCTCCCTTAACCATTAAGAGCCCTAATTTCATTATACACACTTACCAAACAATTTTATTTCATTTTACACTATATCATGAGAGCCTCTTAATCATTCTGATCACTTAATCATTCAGCATCAAATCATTCAGCAATTGCCAAACAGCCCCTAAATGTATAGTCCATACCCTGTATTCAGAGTTTAATATGAATCTTTATTATTTAGATAATTTACACTTGTGGTCCCTGTAATTAGATAAATTATATATCCAGTCCATGTGTTTAGAGAATTTACAGATTGGTCCCTCTACTTACACTAATTATAGTTTTGGTACATGTACTTATAGTAATTACATATTAAGTCCTTGTACTTATAGTAAGTTACATTTGTAGTCAATGTATTTATAGTAAGTTACATTTTAGTCCCTACATGTAGTGTAACGTAATTTATAGATTTCATCCCCCTAATTAGATTAATTACAGTTTTGGTCTATATACTTAGAATAATTCATAGATTTGGTCCCTTTACTTACACTATTTGTTGATAGTTACATTTTTAATATTAATTATAGATTTGGTCTATGTAATTAGAGAAATTATAGTTTTATTACTTGCACTTATAGTAATTATGGATTTGGTCCCTGCATTTAGAGTAATTATAGATTTGGTTCTTGTACTTAGAGTAGTTACAGTTTTGGTCCCTATACCTATACTAATTTACATATATGGTCCCTATACTTAGAATAATTTACATATTTTGCCCATGTATTTGGACTAATTTATAGTAAGTTACACTTTCATTGTAATTACATATTTGGTCCCCATTTTTAGACTACTTTATAATAAGTTACATTGTTTATAGTAGTTACAGATTTGGTCCATGTACTTAGACTACTTTTAATAAGTTACATTATTTATGAGTAGTTACATATTTGGTCATAATAATCGTAACAATTGAATTACTATGTAGGATGGTTTTTACAGGGCGTCATTGACGCTATAGAGCCAAATATCTGTTGCAGCAGATGCCTTGGCCAAGTTGACTTCATTTCTGGAGAGGTTGCCTTCGTTTAGATCGACCTGTTTTGGTCCATGGTTGGACATTACCATGACTGGTGGATACCCCATGTTCATCCATTTTTTTCCTACAGAGACACGTCTTCCTGGACAATGCACAAGATGACGAGTTTATGGTTCCATGTTAGTCCTTGTTATCTTCGCTATGGGTGGGAGGAGTTTTGTCTTGTAACAACACTCCATTTTGGACCCGACTCGACCATTAGGAGGGCATCTCGGGACGATTTCATTAGTAGGTGTTTCTACACGTAACATTGAAACACAATGGCAAACAATTGAGGGTTATTGACCTCGAGAAGACGTTTGAGAGTTTCGAACTGCAGCAATCGTTGATTGGCCGGTCAGCGAGCAAGGATGTTGTCCGAGTATGTCTGTTGATGATGGTGGAGGTCGGATTTCTTGGCCACCAGCGTAATTTGGTAGTTAATTAGACTCTAATTAGGGTTGTAGAGCATCTAAGAGTTTAAAACTTGTTTCCATTGCGATCGTGCATCTAGGCACCCATTGTAATGTCATATATTAGCCTCAGAGGAGGCCATGCAATAGGCTTGTACCGATGCTTGTTGAGGAGCAATTAGTTTGGTATATAGAGAGGCATCGATATTTTGAGAGCACGGAAGGCCGACGACCGTCGAAAAGGTCGCGACCATCACGATTGACCAGGTTCGAGAACGATTACGATGGCTAGAGGGAAGTTCGAGAAAGATGAGTGGATGGAGGCACGTATGACTGAGGTGGAGAGGCTATGCAAGAAGTTCTTGTCTTGGAAGGGCAATTGTTTAACTATATTTTTATCGGGCATGATTTTAATTATTTTTTTATGAACCTTTATGTACTTCTATAAATTCGTACATAGATTCCAGCCCAGGCTCTGGGGGGCCCAAGCTTTTGACATGACACATAGGTTCTGGTTCAGATCTCCGATGTTCGGAGCTCCGTCGTTTATTACACCAACCCATTACATGTAGCCTATAAGTTTTACCTACTCTTTGTTTTATTTTCATAATTATTCTCAAAATCTGTTGACAATGATCGATCTTATTATGCAGGGCACATCAGGGTCGTCGTTCAATAATCCTGAGCCAATGACTCACAGTATGTCAAGCTATATAGGGGTTAGCGTTCCATGCAGTTCACCCGGCGTCTTCTTGTATGTCGTCGCCATTGGGCTCATCATAAGACGAGACTGGCATTTTAGGACTCCCATCACCACCGTTGGTCAGGGTATATCCTCGACGGAGAACTAGTCGAGGCGGCATGCGAAAAGATGTTGGCAAGACAATTAGTATCTCCTTACGCCCCTACCTTCTACTACTCCTCGACGGTCACAAAAGGCACCTACCCATCATCCTACTGTTACTTCTACTCTACTAGTGTCTGGTGTCGTTGCACAATAACATCAAGATCTTTTGCCTGAGATTTTGCTTAGGTGCTTACCGACTCACCTTGTAAACAAGTTGTGGTGGGACAAACTAATGGGGTTTGAGGGTGAGGGGTGGCTTGATGGCTCTGTTAGTACTAAAGTTTAATTTTGTTGATAACACATCGATGCATGGGTATTACTTCGCATTTGCCACATACATCATGGACGGTTATGATTGGAGGTTTTTGTGTGTTCTTGGTCGACGACCAAGGGCCAGACTTCGTATACACTTAAACCAATGGCAGGATAGATGGTTTTACAGCATGGTGGGCTCTCTTGCAGGTATGGAAATCGGTTTACATTTATTTAATCTAACTCATTACAGTGTAGTGTAGTGGAATTTACTATTGGTTTATAACACTAATATTTCAGGTTTTTCTCCTCATATGCATCGATTTCAAGCATTGGGTGCTTGGAGATTTCGACTTGGACACCAAAGACCCCTCTCCATGAAGGCTAACCGAATCCCTTTCCCTCGAAGGCGTCCTCTCTTCCATCCCCAATGGAAGAGTCTGCCCCGATTTATCTGTCTTCGGTCCATGAGGAAGTCGTTGCACTCACCAATTCGATCTCCACTACTCTTGTTGATATTAATTATCGTCTCGAAGAGCAGAAGTTCCTTCATGAGACTCTGATGATCTCTTTTGCCGATTTGAAAATTGTCTCTGCTGCCAAACTTGCTCAGCTGAAAGAATCTTCGTATATAAACAATGACATCCTTGTATCATTGGCCTCGTTGCATGAAAATGTCGATTCTCTATCTCAAAAAATAGCATGCTTCCTTTCCTTGCGAGTTAGAATTTGACAAAGACATTCCCTGAAGCACCTAGAAATGCATGTTTCTCCTAATATGCTCTTGATATGACATTTCAAAAATGACATATAATTGTTCCAACGACTGGTCCCTTTTATTTGTACCAAGAAAAGGACGCCCCAAAAAGTTCTGAAGTTAACGTTGAACTCTGATTCCCGAGTGACAAGTGTCCCCATCCATTTAATGTACATGATGATATTTAAGGGAGAGTAGTTCTCCCATGCAAGTTTACACTTTCAACCATTCTCTACGTGTAAAACTTGCTAAGGTTTGTCATTTCCTTTCGCAACCAAGACTCTTTCTAAACAAGCTAACAACTAAGAACGAGAAAAATGAAAATTACAAAAACTGACACTACAACACAATTGGGTTTATAGGACGCCATCAATTTTTAAGTATCTTAATAGACCGCTTTACAGGAT